TTTTCTCACAGGCCTCGTATATATATATATATGATATTGCGGTGGAACGACATGTATCAGCACTATATTTTATCATTGTTTGGTGTTCATATGCAGTGTGATGCCATCAAAAACTGATTGCTATTAGGTAGAGTATGCAAAAGATCTTTCTGACGCAAAATATTCATACACTCATAATATAAAGACGTGCTCAGGTCGGAGATTTAGACTAGGACCACCCAGAAAGAGACCTGAAATGAGTCGTACCTCCGCCGTGATAAGCTATACCTGAACATTGAGGTAACTGATATAGCTGTATCGTCCATGCGCCACAAGATATACCGTGCCACTCGAAATGTCTTGTCAAATACTGTTATTTGCTTGTCACGAGAATATCTCATTTGAACCAGCTAGCCACGAATGGTGTGTAGTTTGAGTAAACTGTGAAGAACAGGGTAAGATTTTCGAAACTGAAAAATACTTTGATGTATGATCCACTGCTGTCTACTGTAGGGATACATCACAAAAAGCGAGCTCACGATATACTTTGCGTTGGATTCAAGTCCAGAAAATTGTAGTCGATGGATTAACTGCTTTATAATCTAGTACTCTTAGAACGTCATCTGCACTGAGTGATCACAATGAATTCAAAATGAAAGAAAGTTAGCCCTGCTAATGGAAATAGCCAAAGTCGCCTGAGACTAGATAAAGCATTGAGCACACATTACAAGTAGCATTGAAACTAATTCATGGGAATAGGTTAAATTAAAATAAGTAATCATTATCAAACCATGTGGCAATTGGTCTCAACTGACTTCAAGAAGATTAAATTATTAATTGAATTATATTTATTTAGACCACCAAAGGGAAAAAAAAAAGATTAACATATTTAGCTCGACATCATTTTTTAATACATTGTTCCTGAGCAAAGCATATCTATGATACAGTCAGATAGCTTCCCAAATGATTTAAGACGAGAATGAGGCACTCGACTCGCAATCTGAGGGTCGCGGGTTCGAATCCCTGTCACACCAAACATGCTCGCCCTTTCAGCCGTGGGGGCGTTATAATGTGACGGT